GTAATATATTCAGAGTATCATATGTCCCTCAATAAAACTCTAATCTAAAATTTTAAAGGCTCATTTGCACTTCAGTATTACGTAATCAGTTTTATACAAATATTGACGAACTGCTACATGATACGCTTTGAATTTTTCTTGCTTACTCACTTCTTGTAAACAGATCGCAAAAGCTGGCAAATTTTAGGACGTTTGTAAAAACTTATACTTTAGTTTTCTCATTTTTATGAATTAGAAAACCGAGTATAAGTACTTATGAATGTACGAGTATAATTAAAATAGTATGTATTGTGATAAGGTTTTTTTCTATAGTGCCTTTGTGTTATTATTTTATTAGTGAAATATTGTTATGAATAAAAAAACCCGATTTCGTTTTTGTTGAAATTTCTACTGTAATTCTTATATATACTATAAATAATATACTATACAGATTGTTGTCTTGCTGAACCCTGGGTCTATGAATTTTATCAGTATTATGAGTGTGTGTAATTTATTTCCGGACTTAACTCAAATATTTTTCTTTTTTTTCCTTTTTATATGTCTGTGTACAAACAGGAACGAACATTCTTCAGTATAAAAGATAGCTCGCTCCCATGGATCATGAATGACTACTTTATTTATAAATAAGAATTTATTGCATGACACTGTTTTTAACTATTATTTTGTTGCATTCAACTTCTTGGTTTGTTTTTTCCTTATTTTCTTGGTGAAGTTCATTGTTGTTCTTTTTTGCATTATCGTTTTTGCTGTTGTGTCTGTGTCTTTTATGTGTTTAACAACTTGTTGAGAACTCATTTTTTACGTTTTTTTGGGATGATTATTATAATGAGCGTTTTTCTTTTTTGTAACAAAGGATATGAATATGTTTAGGGATTTCCTTAGGTTTGTTCAACTGGAAAAATAAAAAAAAAGAACAGCACATGAATAATTTTAATTTTTTATTGTGAGAATTTAAACATTGAAGACGCATCTGTTTGATTATGCCTTTGGTGAATACACTCACTTATACCTAATATGCATACATATCTATACGTATACACATGTAATATGCATAATTATGAGTGTATATAAATTATAGGTGCCTATACTTATAGAAAACAAAGGAGGTGATTATGATTAAAATTAAATTTATGTACAAAATAATAAGCATGCATGCATATATTTGTATGCATTATTAAAAAAAAAGTTATAAGGGAAATAAAAATTCGACAGGTTGCAGTTTAGTGACACAGAAATCGTTTTTGTGGTTTCATAAAATTACGCATATGTATTTGTGTTTATATATGTTTATTTATATGTTCATATTTATAGCAAAATTTTAATTTTGTTGTGAGCGTAAAATCGACAGGTTCATCAACTTTTATAAGTGTTTATATGAGTTCACATTATTATTGAATAGCGTTTTATTAGTATTGAAATATTTTGCAATACAAATGTTTCAATTTTATAATTATGGTGCTCAGAATAACACAGACGAAGTTCATAACCTTTGTTATTGTCATTTAAGAACTTGTTTAATACTTTTCTTACCTAAAATGTTTTGTTACGATATAAAACGAGAAAAAATTAAGTTGTCAACTCTGTGATACCCGTACGAATTTGTTATCCTATGTGAGAGTAATATTCCATAGCTTACTATGGGATAGACTATGACTTTAAGTTGCCGTATTACCGTATTAATTTATACAAAATTTCGGCACTGTGTTTTCAATACTTTTTAGGATATGGCCAAACTACTATCGAAGTTTTATGGCAGCTACCACAAGAAGTCAAGAAATTTGAACGATTTTTATCACACATAACAGCCCTAATAATACACTTATTTTGACGAAATTCCAATAATTTTTGAGATAATGCCAAATAACTTTTCAAGTTGTATTTTAGCTAAGGTAATATTATTTTATAATGTCATATTAGGCTTTTCAATTAGTTTTTTGACAAAACTAAATCGACTCAGAATTCGACGAATTGATCAAAAACATACACTTGAGTCTATATCTCAGACTATTTTTTCTTCTGCGTTACAAACGGTAAGGCAAATTTAGTTACCCTTCGAACTTATGTTCGTACGGGTATAAATACGTTAAAATTTCATATAGAAAGGGGAAAGCAGATTTATTTGTATTGGAAAAATTAGAATATTCTTTTGTGTTAGTAAAAACATATAAAAATACTCGTGAGTTACATGGAATAACTTGCTCTATAATACTTGACAATTTGTTGTTTTGCACTGTACCTAAGCCAAAGATGATTCTTGTATTCTGAAAATACAGGCAGGTAAGGCTTATTTCTTCGTCGTAATTTTTCTTCTAGGCGGAAAATTGGATTAGCTTTAAATTTAACTATCTATGGGTACCGATAATTTTTTTCTTTTATGGAACCAAATTATTCGCACTTCTCCTTTCTTATTCTTTATATTTTCCAGAATGTCGCATGTCAGTTTTCGGCTACTCTATTTATTGACACGATTAAATCCATCAAACTTAAAACTGATGTCAGTACTTATCCGCCGAATTGTGCATGTTCTAAACAATATCAACAAATATGTGCATATCTATAAGTTTGGTAAAAGACTTTATAAGATTCGTAATCTGTCCTTAATATACATATTTCAAATTTGAAATAGTCTAGTAGAGTAGTTTTTTTAAGCTTATAGCCATGTCGTACTTAAACTTGCTGAAGCTTTAGATACAATCGTTGAACGTTGTATTAAAAGTTTTGAAAAAAACCTTATTTTTTTTCATAACCTTACAGGAAATTTTCCAAAGCTTTCAATTCCCGTCATTCCGAAAGTACAAGGAATACGAAATTAAGTCATGCTTTATCTTAAAATCCTTAATGAGGTTTTTCAAAGCGCGTGTCTTTCTTAGACCAGATGATACCAGCAAGTAAAAACTTCTCTAATTTTTTTAAAGTGCTTAAATTTCGAAAACTGTTGAGATTTGACATCTACTTCTAAACAAAAATTTTACCATTTTCGAAGTTACCACTTTTTACTTAACGATGGTATTATTTTAAAGCAGTTATTACTGAATTATCCCATATATGGAATTTGTAAAAATACTCTGGTTCTGCTGTACCAAGAAATTTGTTTATATTTTTTTAAAACAATCATTCGCAAAAGGGTTATTAAAGGTCTACTTTCTGAAACTCACTTTTTCTTTAAATGTTACTTGTTACCATTTTTCTTTGAATACAAAAAAAATTAAGGCAAACCTGTTGTCAATGTGTTGATTTTTTTATCAACCGCTTTCCAAATTGTTATTTAATGTTTATGAATACTAAACATTTAATAATAATTTGGACGAATTGGAAATATTAAAACAGAGTAAACATGAATTTGGTACTAAAATTCATAAAATTTCTAAAATTACTTAAAATTATTTTAAGATCTTGCAAAATACACAGTTTTAATTAACAATAATAAAACACTTTAAAAAAATTTTAGTTTATTTTTCGAATTTTTGAAATGAAATGAACTTTTAGATTCATTTAATTTAGTATTACAGGAACAAATATAAAAAATATTAAAATTTAATCATTTCATTGAAATTGACACTTAAATTTCTTTAGAAACAAAGATTTATAATTGAAACTAGTCGTGTGTGCTTGCATTGCAAGCATTTCAAGTTTTATGTCTGTAGTTTTCAAATTATGTTCTATTCTGCAGAGTTCGTAAAAGCTTAATCTTATAAAAACATATTTTTTTATTGCTTTAAAATTTTGGAAATAGCTGTGTGTGAGATTTTAGAAAATAGTTATGCGTCTTCCTTTTTTTGTTCAAAATAAACCAATAATATATGAACATATATGTAGATACATATGTTTTTTTTCATAATGATTAATAACATAAAACTTAAAATAAGAAAAACTCTTAAAATTAATTACAAAACAGCACATTAAGCAAATTAATAAATGATTGGTTTTGTTTAAGGTCTAATATTTTTTGTAAATAATTTTTCAAATTTTAAGTATTAGCATTTCTTTTCGATTATATTTGACAACTTTCCATTATTATTATTGAAAAACCTGCGAATTTCCACACCACCATAGAGGTATAGCTTTTGGCGCGTTAACTGATTTTTTTATATGGTCAGTTTCCTCAGTAAACTTAAATACCATAAATCCCCACGAATAAGAACACAGAATATAAATCAAATAACCAATTTTATTGTTTGTTTCTCATAAATATAAAGAATCTTAAACCTGTAATACATTTCGTTGTCTACAAACTAAGTGCGTAACTTAGCTATTGGAAGTGCGTAACTTACATTTTGAAAGTGTGCACCACTGAAATAACGCGATTACAGTACCAATGTTTGATACACAATATTTACAGTATGTGCTGTACCATTTATAATTCGCTCAGGGTAATCAAAACCATTAATTCAGCTCTAGTTCTGGCTCGCCCCAATGCTACGTATAGTTGCCCATGAGAAAAAGCATCATTTCTCAAATCAATACCTACGCGAGAAAGTGTTTGACCTTGTGATTTATTAATAGTCATTGCATAAGCTAATTTAATGGGAAATTGACGACTTATCATTTCCATACCTTGGCGCCCTATGGAAAATTTGAAATTTATTCGGGGTATTAAATGTCTAATGTTACTATAAGGTTTTTGGGCTTCCAATAAAGTTTTGGAAGTTACAATCAATTTGGTTCCATTTACTAATCCCTCAGAGAAGTTTAAAGTTCTTATAAGAATAATTAACGCCCCTTTCTTTAAAACTAAGTCATGGTCGGGCACTCCTGGTTGTGTAACAAAATTTAAGATTTCCGGGCCTAAATGATGCGCTGGATCGGTACTATGGGGAAGGAGTCAAGAGTCAACACTGTATAGATGACACAGATTTCCTGGCGATACTTCTAATACTTTCTTATTTATTTCACCTATACAGACATTAGTACCAGACAATATCGCTCGTTTACTGCACTCATTGGAGTTTTTAATTATATTTCTAGGAAATACAAAGCTTATTAATTTCTCAACGGATGTCTCAAATGGAATGTTTGGAAGTTTTTACAAGATCTAGTCCATCATTTTGTTTTACTGATAGAAATCTTTCCTCCTCAAGTCTACGTATGAATGCAGAAAATTCTGCATCATGAACCGCGCGCATTGAGTGCAACAAAGTCAATATCGAAAAATTCTGCCATAATGCTGAACTTCGCAACGATAACGAAATAATTTCTTTTGGGGAAGCCCCGGGTACAATTGGAGGAATTTGTCGAAAATCCCCCGCTAACAAAATGATTTTCCCTCCAAATGAAATTTTTTTTAGTGTAATGTCTTGCAGGCCTAGATTGATGCATTGAACTAAATTTTTATGCGCCATAGGTGCTTCGTCCAGAATTATAAGATCCGCTTCATTTATTAATTCCGCCCGCTCACTTGAAACTGTAACGTTCCAAGTTATGGCGTCATCTTGTATATTGAGCGGAAGTTTGAACATAGAATGCGCTGTAATACCTCCTTCATGATTTATTGCTGCTATCCCGGTTGTGGCTGTAGGAAGTACAATCTTTCCTGTACTTCTAAGCTTCGCTGTTATTACGTTACGATTGTTTTACCTGTTTATTTCAAAATATATTTGTAGTTGATCACCGTTTAGTTTGGGCTCCCACTGCTTAATAAAATTCTCGCAATTTTTACGTGACCAGCGTAATCTTTCCCTTCCTAACTCAGACGAATCATCAATTATTTCTGACAAACCCATTTTTTGTAAAGAGCTGCCATGGCATCTGAGCATACGACTTATTTCAGAGAGAACTTTATTATTCGCCAAATCTGGAGTGAGTCCTAAGGAGAAATCTTCAGATAGGTAAGTTTTAAATTCATCCCACAATACTCTGGCAGGTCCCCCGTTCAAAATTATTATTGTGAACAATTCGCGTAATTGAGGTGCCATTTTAAAATTACGTGCTTCTTCTAATGCTTCTTTATATTCATTTATATTATTGAGAAAGCCATGAATTTTTGCTGCTTCTTGGAATGTTTCATATGTAATACATTAATTTTTTCTAAATCTTCGTATTCATAGCAAGGAATTCTATTTATAAGCATGCGTAAAAAGTAGTGGGATATACATAAACAATTCGTGCGACACAATTTTGACGCTGCCTCTTGCTAATAAAATGTTTTGCATTTGAGTGCCTGATTACTGGTACCAAAGAATTTTTTCGATCTTTCGTTTTCACATTATATTGCTCATATGTTAAAATATGTTAAAAGTCGAGATATAGCATCCGTTTTGAAAAAGCTCTACTTGCAGCATCTGATTCTTCTCCTGCTCGAAATATGACGCATTGTTCATTTTCCAAATGAATGGGAAGTGGTACTACCGCGGGATGACAGTGACACAAATTATATTCAAAAATGCGCCACAAAGCCTCAGATGAAGATATATATCTATAATTTACATAATTTTCAGTTTCATCTTGTGAGTTCATGTTTTCTATTACAGAGGGTAACGCATGATCAGGTCCCTTGTGCAAATATTTATAAACATATTTGATAACTTTAGTTGTTGTGGCAATTTCCAAATTACAGTGACAGTTCATTAGGAATAGTACAGAGGGACAGTATGGGACAATCCATTGATTATTAACTGTTTTTCCGTTGGATAATGTAAGTAAATCTCCTGAATTTGATTTTTTATAATTGATTATTCTTTTGTCATGTGTGTTACGTCGTTAAGTTGTTTTGGATAGTTTTTGGTACAAATTTTCTTTTTTTTATCCATGCATGGGTATCCCAAATAGTCCATGCCACATGAACCGTGTACCATGTGTTGTCGTACCAATTCTCTTAAACGACCACCGGCTTCCTTTTCTGATGGTATTGTTGCTCTTACAAACGCATCTATATCACAACTATTAATGGGACCACCTCCAGCTACTCTAAATGCAATATGAGCACGGGGGAGCCCACGTTTCTGAAATTCTATAACATACTGTAGGGAAATTAAGCTGCCAAACAATTTTCCACTCCTTATCATAATATTAATTTTGACAATTTCAGTTGAAATACTCGAACACACAAATCGGGCCTATCTGCGGCATTTTGTTCTGGTAATAGACTTTTTTTAATTTCAGTCCAATTGGGATTGCATGTTACCGTCAAGAAAAAACTTGGTTTACCCAACCTTGAAACTACTGCCATTGAATTCAAGTACTTAACCACATATATCTTGGACTATGTGTGTGAGTAGCTGGCATATATATTTTCCCTACAGGCTTGTTACCACCAGCAGCAATTGTCTCATCTTTTTCTCGTCTTGTGGATATCTTAAGAGTTGATGACTGATGATGCTTTGTAAACTGCAAACGTTCTTCTTCCGCTCTGCAATACATATCAATAATATATTCTTGCGCTAAGCGCTTTAATTTCACAAATCTGGAATCTGAAAGCAATTGATATCTATAATATTTTATTTGGGTTACGTTTTTTCCATTCTTATCTTTAAGATCTGGTGACCACCCAGATGTCGCTCTTGGGAAAATTAATGGGTATTGCAGAGGCTCGTATGCTGGACTCAAATAATGTACGTTATGAGACTTCTTTTCGCCAATTCGCCATATAATAAACTGCCTTGGATTGCTGTCAAAGCTGGTACGAAGGAGCCCAGCAATTTCCTTTGATGTAGGCGTATCTCCTAGAATTGGACCTTCTCGACGGCGGTTTGTTGCTTTGAAGACTATATGAGCATCTTCAGATGGGTGTCGACTTAACACTTTTAAATCCTTTATAATTGGATTCACTTCTTCTAAGTGTCTTTCTATATTAATTAAGATATTCTTATCTAGTCGCTTTTCTATAGCTTTCAAACGGCTCTCACCATCATCAATATATAATGCTGTATTGTTGACACTCTTATCATATGATAAGTCAAATATTCTTTGGTATATTCTGCCTTGAACTTTTAAAAATGAAGTGCCTCCAGTTGGTGTCTTGAAACCATGTGTTGTGCCAAGCGCCGAGAAAGCGAAACTATTATTATATGCTCGTGCATTTTTTAAAAAGTCTACGCTGCTATAAAATTGAGCGGTAAGATCAGGTAATATAAATTGTATAGCCTTTTCACCGCAGCGCCACTTTCGCCTTGAAGTCTCCTCGACAAATAACGGGGCATGGCAATAAGAACAGGTTGTAGAGCTTCGAAGGAAAACCTTTTTTAGTTTAAGTGGCTGAACTGAATCAAGTTCTTGTTCAGCACGATCTGTAATACATGTTGATTTTCTTTTTGTTCCTCTTTGCTCGTTTTCTACTCGCAATTCTTGTGTAACAGCTCTACGCACTTCTTGTGGTTTCAGTCGTTCTTGTCTATTGTTTTCTTCACAGTCCTTTTTCTTACCTCCTTAGTGGGAATGGACTTAAAACATTTTAAAACTGCTATTATCTTGGCAAGATAACTTCTCATTTGTTTCATATCATATTGTTCTTTTGTTGGGTTGTGTCCTAAAGCAATTAAGGTGGCAAAAGCAGCAGCAAATACGCCACAGTCGATTTGTTCCTGTACTATTTCAAAAGCCACTTCAGGGCTATGCGGTAATACTGCTTTCAAAAATTTTACTTGCGGTTTAATTAACACGCCTCTATTCAAACTGTCATATATATGTACTGTTATTCCATCGTAGTAGCTGCATACCCAGTGCGAAATACCATCACCATAATTGAACAATTCCGTTGACATGATTTGGATGTGCTTGGCACTTCCTGGAATCGGGTTGACGTCTTCTAGGCCCCCCATCGCATAAATACTAATTGGTGAAAAATCAGAGTTTTCTCGAAAAACTCTACCGAATAAATCTATAGTATCTCCACTGAGATAATCTCAACTTATTATCTCATTAATAGCTCTGAACTGAGCAGCCATTTTTTAAAATTATGTATTTAAAATATTTCAAATGTTTTAATATTCTGTTATTTACAGATTACTTATAGGCTATAACATATTTATTCTTCACAACCTATTTACATCTGAATTTAATGTGACGCAAAATTTTCAGTGTTTTTGCCCGTTTTCAGAAATTAACACACTTTTAATAAATTTGTCTTATATAACGACTAATTTATTTTTTTAGTAGAATCTTTTAAGCATTTTTAGGTGTGTAGGAAAATATGGAAATTTTTTAGTTTAAAAATTAGTCAATTAATTTTTTTACTATGTACATGCATATTTTTGAGCCGTACATGCATATATTTTGTTGTCATATACTTATAATGAACATTCACAAAAGTTTAAAAGAGCAGTGTAACAATAAGTCGATTATATGTAATTTCAGTCGCTCATGCAATATTGCGGATTTGATACATCTGACGTACATATAAACAAACTTTTTATATTTTTATATACTTAAATGGATAATCCGGTTAGACTAATGTTCATTGTTTATTTTCCATTTTTCAAATTTGTTATGGTTTTTATCCTTTTTTTCTTTTGTCGTTTTGGAGGAAAAAGACAACACAGAATATGCAGATGGATTTTTCATTTTCCAAAATCCATTTTACCTTAATTGAATTCTATAAATTTTCCATTTTCAGTTTAACCGCTCATATAGATTTTAATTTTTTTTGTCATTTTTTTGGTTTTTTGCTTTATATTTTCACCTGTAAGTGCAAATAAAATAAAACAAAAAAAAAAACCAGCAAACAAATAAATAAAACCTTATTTCATCTATTAGCTATTTTTTAGCGGTTTTTTTTTTCAAATACAATACTGTTTATACACGTTTAGTGTATACTAATATATGTACATGAATACTTATAGACTATAGTTTTATATATAGACATGTGTACATATTTGCCGCTCCTATTGAAATATGTGTGCATAAATAATAAAAATCCTTTAATTAATTTTTTAAATATTTAAATTGTTTATCCATTTGCTAAGAATGGTATTGTCTATCATCAACTTCAATTACTATTTGCATTTTTTACTAAAATTTTTTTCTATATAACGCTGTATCTGTTAACGTATTCATATATAAGTGAAGACTTACACATTTCATATATGTATATTATATGTAGATATGTGAAAAAGTTGTTGATATTTATCAAGCGTGTGTTTTTATGTTCGTTCTATTCTCATCTATTCTATATACACATTTTCACATAATATGTAATATGTGTTATACGTTCAATATTAAAATCGGAAAAAAAAAATTGAAAGTCCTGTCGATAGCAATCTACATCATCGCTTTCATTCCATTCATTGTTATTATTTTTTTTATCCTTTATGGATGTTGTCCTTTATGTGTTTTGTGTTTTTGTTTTGATGTATGTATATTTAAACCTAATATTCATTTATGTCAAATCATCGATTTTGTATATAATGTATATACTATATATAGTGTAAAAGTCCTTATTATTTCTCTGGAATTTGGATTTCGATTTTCTAAAAAATTTTTCTAGAAATTTTCTAATAATGTACATACTCGTATAAATTTAGTCAGTAGTAAATGTATACATATTTATATATATAAAATGCCGCCTACAATAAGTTTGTTATATACCCTATTATTATTTTGTCTAAATGGGAAGTAGTTAGAAATGGATTTGGCTAAAGTTATAAATGAATTCTAAATACATATAGAAATAACCAAAAACAATGTATAATTTAAAGTTTATAGGCTATTTACATTCGTTTATAATGTTAAAGTTTATTATAATAAACGAAAATTCGATATCAAGCAGAAAATTTTTAGGAATTTCAAGTTAGAATAATATTATATTCGGCGTATTACAGAGTCAGAAATATATTTTTAATAGTGCTTATAGTTTCACTAACATAATAATCTCCGATAAATTGTTTATAAAGATTATCTATAATTCGTGGAGATTAAGTATTAAGAAACGCAGTAGTTGCGTCCAGTAGTAGTAGAACAATATCAGTTTTATTATTTTCAAGTTGTTAAAAAAAAAGGCGTTGAGGCTGAAGTTCAACCTGCATTTGTTACATTTTCTGGGATTCAAACACTTTTAATTAATTGAATATATTATGTTTAGCAAAACACATTTTTACATATTGCAACAGTAATTAATGGTTGAAAAATTTTATTAGAATAATCCCATATATATTACCATATATATAGAAGTATGTTCAATAAATATTATGCTAACAAAATGTGGAACAAATTATGCTAACTAATAATAAATTCGCTTCATGTGCACGGGGTGATGATGATATAACCTCAATATTATTATTGTAAATACAATCCAATTCATGCAAATGTTTGTCGTCTATAACTTTAATAAATTCTTTTTTCGATAAATGTCACTAAATCGGAATAAAAGCTCACATATAGTGTTTTGCTTCTTAGAACAAAGCTCTTTGAATTTAACAAAATTATCGTAAAACAATAATTTCATCTAGTTCTCATAAACAAATGACTTAAGGAAATTTGTGATGGTCTAATTTTTTTCACAGTTTTTCATTTTACCCCATGATATTGTTAGAACAAACGAATCTATTAATTTTTGATTTGAAAATTCGATTTAAGGAGTAGAAAAGTGAATTTGTTTTTAGTGGGAAGAAGAAATTTTTTAGGAATATGAAATAACAGCGAAAAGATCCTTAATTGCAAAACTAATGTACAAGAGTTTTAAATTTAAAACTTAAAAAAAAAAAATTTATTTAAGCATTTTATTTTGCTTTTGTTGTTTTTTTTTCATAAATCAAAAATGGAAGGAGTTATTGAATTTTTTAAATTACAAAATTTAATTTCCGGAGCTTTTATTTTTGAACTGTTATTTTTAGAAGTGAGGAATTCTTTTATTCTTCATATTGTTTTAAGTTTTTTTGTTGTTCTGTGTGAAATGTAGTGTGTCTAACTATAATGATAACGACGTCTAGATCTTAAATGCCATTTGAAATATTGGCTCAATAACATTTTGGTTCTTATTGAGCCAATATTTATAGTTAAGATTGGCTTAAGAATTTTTAAAACTAATTTAGCATGAACGGTTTTGTATAAAAAACTTCTTCATACGTGGAAG